TTCATGCTCTATGTACAGGTAAATTATTTCTTGGATGTGTACGGATAGGTGGACGAGTGTGATTTGTGTAGAACGCGGTGTGTTGCGTATTATCCGTCCCGAATAGTTAGATTCGCTGAGGCCGAGCTTGGAGAGGAGTCTTGACGTTCTTGTAGACGAGGCCAGTGAGTGCGTCACCACAGAGTGCTCCGGTTGGAGTTAGATGCGTGGTACTCGGGTTGGCCGGTCGGTGAATCTCGAAGACGAGGCCAGTGAGTGTGTCACCACAGAGACGTGTGGTACTCGGGTTGGCCGGTCGATGAGGTGTGGCTTTCACGGGAGGAAAGTATCCACCTTGGAGATCAGGAACAGACCCTTCGTCGTGGCCCCAGGTGCAGGAATCGGAGTCGGAATCGGAGTTGAAGAAGGCAGCGCCTTGGTCTCGATGTTGTCCGGTGAGCTGGGTCGTAAACGACCCAGGAACCTTCCCACGGCAGGGAGTCTGTCGACTTTACCGCGGAGAGTTAATGCCCTGCAAAGCAGGTGTAGACGAAGGCCTGGAATGAGCACGCTCCGTATCAAACGGAGGCCCTAAAGAGCACGCTCCGTCTTCAAAAGAGATAATGTCAGGGGCCCTGGTAATAGCACACCCTGGTGAGCTGATCGCTGGAGAGGTCCCGCTGAGCTGCCCTTTATATAAGGATCGATGTCGAACCTTACTTACGAGAGAATCGACCGGCGATGCGCCGCGTAGCGGGCGCGCGTTGAACTGCCCGGCCGATCGATATCGTGCCGCTGCTCGCGCCGCGCGCCTCCCGTCTTACTGCCGTCGTCGCGCGCGCACCGTCGCGCGTTGTGGCGGACAGCTAACCGCCACAGACATTTTTCAAATTTGCTGCAGTTCTAACTCGAATACAAATCATCCGATCGACTTGAATTTTTTTGGAGCGTGTTTAGTATTTGTTTGTCCATACAATGACCTTCCAGTTTTTTTATTGGATGAAAAATGTCAATTTGCCATGCAAAAAACCGCGAGATTTTTAAGCGTAATTTGAAATTTTTTTCAAAACTCCGCCATTTTGTTGGATTTTAATTTTTTTCATAATTCTACGCCATTGTACGGGAAATACCTTCTAGTTTAACGGACATTTTTTGTTTTTTTTATTTTAGGCACTCTGAAGGCCGCAATCACTGCAGCAGTGGGAGAACTTTTTTTTTTTGGAGACTCGGGAGATGACACATAAGTCGCTGAAAATTGATTATTTTAATACAAAAAAATTACTGCACATAGATCATTTATACACAAATATATTCTCAAAATTTCAAAACATTCAATGCAATATTTTTCTTTTAATAAATTCCCGAAAATCACCTTTTTTTTTGGGCAGTCACACTAGTTGTGCCCCTTAACGCGCGGCCGCAATCGCGCGGCAGAAACGCCTCGTGTGAACAGGCTCCTTGATCTCAGTATCAGCTCCCTGCTGTCAATATAAAAAATAATATAATAGGTTATTATAACCTGTATGTATAAACACTCACGTAAACGTAGTATAAACAGTAAATAAAATAGTACAAGTATAACAGTAATATCTCTACTATTATATAAAGGGGAAAAGTTTGTACTGTTGTTCGGAGTAATCTTAGAAACTATTGGACCGATTTTGAAAGTATTGTATATGAAGTAAGGGTAGAATTTCCCGGGGAGTGCTATAAGGTGTACAGTTTTTCGTTACCGATTTTCTGGAAACCGGTTTTTCTAATTTCTTCAATTTTTCGGGAAATAATTGATGGAACCTCAAAGAATTATATATGAAACAGGGGTAGAATTTTCCGGGGAGTGATATGAAATGTATAATTTTTCGTTACCGATCTTTTTTGGAACCGGTATCCGAAATTTTTCCAATTTTTCGGGAAATAATTGACCGAATCTTAAAGAATTGTATATAAAACAGGGGTAGAATTTCCTAATAAAGGGGTTACCAATTTCTGTCTAAGAAAAATCTACGTAATTGTTCTGATTTCTGCAAATTTTGAGATTTTGAGCTAAATTTTTTTTTATGGATAGAATATTATTATATTGAATTTAGCGAGAATCGGTAAAAGGGTTGCCGATTTTTGCTTAAAAATTGTGTAAGTTATATATCGGGATTTAATAACGGATACTGATATTTCTAAATTTTATATTAAATATTGAGAATTGAGAATTGAGAATTGAGAATTGAGAATTGTTTACCCAGGCGTTTTTTCGGGAATTTTGAGATTGCTCGCTCGTGATGTACACAGAACCTCGATTTTTCAATTAAAAAACCAAGGAATAAAATCGGTAATCGGTAAATCGGTAATCGGTAAGTGAAATATCGAGGTTCTGTATACATCGCGAACGAGCAATCTCAAAATTCCCGAAAACACGCCTGGGTAAACCAAGGGATGATGTCGCTGATCGGTAAGTGAAATATTGGAAAAGCGGAATTGACTCAATAGTGTAAAACTCGAGTAGAAAAAGACCGGTTACGACATGTTTAATCCACGAAAACATTTATGCGGTCCGATTTGAAATTAGAGGCATTTAGTTATAATTTAAATTACAAATATCAATTTCATCCAAGTGTAATAATTGGGAAAATGGATGTAATATGTGATCATTGTCAAGTAAAAAAGTTTAAAACTTAAGCACCTAGAATGTGTTATTCATGCAGGAAAGTTAAACTACCGTCTTTAAATCAACCGACACACTCCTTATGTTTGTCCACAATAAGGATATTGAAACACAAATAAAGTCGTTTCAAGAAAAACGACTCCCGGGCGAAGCCCGGGTAACCAGCTAGTATAGAATAAGATAATTATAGGATAATTACATAAAACAATTACCTCGAATTAATCGTCGCGTCGCGTAAAGAGTCACGGTCGGTCTCGCTTCGCGCGTACTACCGTATCTTTCTCGAGATAAGTTATAGGTTATAACTGATGAACTGACTGACAGCGCGCTAAACGAACGCATTGTCTGCACTGCACTGCACTGCGATACTAACGCCGCTAGCCGCCAGTGTCAAAAAAGTGAAAGTGACATTTCTCTGTTCTCTGTTTGTAACATGTATGTTATAATGAGATGAGAGCGGTTGACGTAGAAAGTATCTTAAAATAAAATTTTGACATTTGGACTTTGCGTCGCAACACGGAGAAAATTTTATGTTAAATTTTACTATGCTGCCGCACCAACTGCGGACCATCAAGACGCCCAAGTTTAAATGCTATAATCTTGTGTAAAATTACTATGTCCATAGCATTTAGTGATACGATCATAGCATTATTATAGCATTGAATGATATGATCGTAGCATTATCCGCTCGTAGGGCACGTAGCGGAATATTATAAGAAACCCCCCCCCCCCTAATTGGACCCCAAGTTATCGATCAAGCCTACTTAGAACTTGATCCGTTCACTCGTTATCGAGATCACAGCATCTTGTATACTCGCAACCTGTCGCGTCGCGTAAAAAAGTCACGGTGCGGTCTCGCTTCGCGTGTACTTGGCGCGAGACACTACCGTGTCTCTTGATATTAACAATCTCAGACACACTTCTTTATAAGTTGTAATTTTTTTTTGTTAAGATTAAGATGCGTAACACTACAAAAAGGCGTGATATCCGTATAAAATTACCTTTTTCAAAAAAAGGTAAAAAAAGGCGCCAAGTACACGCATAGTAGTGTATATGTATTATGTTGTTACCTCGAAAAAAAACAAAGTGGCAGTATTATACCTTGAAATAACACCTTGTATATATTGTTTATAAAATGCGTAATACTACAAATAGCCGTGATATCCGTACAAAATGACCTTTTTTTAAAAAAAAGGTAAAGAAAGGCGCCAAGTACACGCATAGTAGTGTATATGTTGTTACATCAATAAAAAAACAGTGGTAATATTATAACTAAAAAAAATCTAAGTACCAAGTGGTAGACGTAATCTTTGTATCTCAAAAAATCTTAAAAAAACCTAAGCAGTAGTATCTTTACCTCGAAAAAAAACAAACAAAGTGGTAGTATTATACCCCGAAAAAACCTAAGTAACAAGTGGTAGACGTAATCTTTGTATCTCGAAAAATCTCGAAAAACCTAAGCAGTAGTATTTTTATTTCCAAAAAGTTATAACTCAAGTGATACACATCACAAAATTACGTTACCTTATCAAAAATGAGTCGCGCTTTAAGTGATCTATTATTACAATTACAAAAAAGAAATTATATCTCTTTTTAAATTACAGCGCCAATTACAGAGAACATATATTTTTCGAGATACAAAGATTACGTCTACCACTTGTTACTTAGGTTTTGCGAAGTATGATATTACCACTGCTTTTCTTCGATTAAAATGAAAGATTGAATCATGAAGAATTACACAGAGGTAACAGTACAAAATACAAATATTTTATTAAAATATTTAAACCCAACAAGGGAATACAAGGTATTTAAATACAAAGTTTATATATGTATTTTAAAAGATTTAATCGCATTGCAAAGAATTACAGAGGTAACAGTACAAAAAATAAAAATATTTTATTAAATACATAAATTTTTTTTGTCAAAAAACTTGGCGTTGCTAGAGAGAGAGAGAGAGAGAGAGAGAGAGAGAGAGAGAGACTTTTTACAAATGTAAATATTACTTATTCTATACTCATTCTATACTTAACTCTAATCGCTTTACAAATCTAAACTTATCCTAACTTATCCTATACTTAATCATAAGTCGCATTATTCATCGTCTCACACACACACACACACACACACACACACACACACACACATCACCCACACCCACTCGCTCGCACATACACACCAGGCTGACCTAATTTTGAGGTCTAGCAGCGCCAAGTTTTTTGACAAGAAAAATTTATGTATTTTAATAAAATATTTTTATTTTTTGTACTGTTACCTCTGTAATTCTTTGCAATGCGATTAAATCTTTTAAAATACATATATAAACTTTGTATTTAAATAACTTGTATTCCCTTGTTGGGTTTAAATATTTTAATAAAATATTTGTATTTTGTACTGTTACTTCTGTGTAATTCTTCATGATTCAATCTTTTATTCTAATCAAAGAAAAGCAGTGATAATATTATACCTCGAAAAAACCTAAGTAACAAGTGGTAGACGTAATCTTTGTATCTCGAAAAATACACTGAGAAAAAAAATTGTTAATCCCAAGAAATATTTAGTTCGATACGTTCAACTAAATATTAGTTGTTTCAACAATTTATTTCGTTTCTTTAATCAAGAATTAATTAATTCAACTAATGTTTAGTTAACTAACTAAAATTTTAGTTGAACGTATCGGACTAAATATTTCTTGGGATTGACAAATTTTTTTTCTCAGTGTATGTTCTCTGTAATTAGTGCTGTAATTTAAAAAGAGATATTATTTCTTTTTGTAATTGTAATAATAGATCACTTAAAGCGCGACTCATTTTTGATAAGGTAACGTAATTTTGTGATGTGTATCACTTGAGTTAT